GCGGGCACCTGGAGAAGGGTGTGGGCATGCATAGGTGGGTTCACCTGAGCTGAGACTGGGCTCGTAAGGGCGGTGTCATGGGACACTGGAAGAGTGGAGCAGAACTACCCAGAAGGAGAACAAGCAAGAGAGCAGAACAGAACCAGCAGAGAACAAGACCATGAGATAACACCAGAGAGCCCAGAGAGAGTGAAGATTCTCAGGGGGCTGGGAGGCCCAACCCCCACCCCGCACCCCTACTTGCTGTGTACCTGGTAAACTCAATAAAAGCCTGGAAAAGCCACCGGGAGCTCCAGGACTCTCCTTCGCCGACCTGCTCCAATCATAGAAAACCTGCCCTGTGCATCCTGCGGCTACATGGTCTTCCTCAGGCGTGGTTTCTGTCAAATTCTTTTCTTTTTTTCATATGAATGGACCAAGCGTTCCTGTCTTTTGTATGTTTTGTAATTTTCTTGTTAAAAACTGGTGTTATCATTCAGTAAATCTGGACATCACTTTATTACCCTTTTTAGGGAACTGCTGAATTTTGCAAGTTGCAGACTGAAGCTGTCCATTTACGGTTGTTCCAGTTGACTTTTGCAAAGGGTGCATTCCCTTTCGTGTCTACTCACTGAAATTTCTGTTCTATTATCTCTGCAGTCAGCTAATGACCAGTCAAAGATTTTATTAAATATCTGGCTCCAAAAAAGAGAGGGGAAATAAAGGGCTCTATTTCATTAGATCTTCCAGTAGATGCCCCACAGGGAAATGACTCCTGCCAAGAGGAACAAAATAAGGCAAACATCTGTGCCAGCCCCATGGGTCACTGCCAGACCAATAAAGATGCACAGCTCCAAGTGTTTAGAGAACAAGACCCCTGCCCACCCTATCACTAGCCCCCCTGCCAAAACCACTAACTGCATGCCCATAGATGCAGTGTACCGAGGAATGGCAGATGGCTGCTGGTTTGCCCACACCACTCAGTTATGCCATCAGCAGACTCGTCCCTCATTGGAAACTCCCCTAGTTGTTATAAATGTCAAATCAGGTTTCAGAGTTACAAAACAGTAGATTCCGATTGCTCCTTCCAGCTTAATGTTTGCTTTGGGAGGAAGATGGACGTCTAGAGCTTCCATCTCCACCATTTTGTGTGGTGTCATTGGGAAGAGATTTCAGGTGCTCCCCTCCAGGGTGCATTTGGAACATCATGGTCAGCTGAGGGCCCAAAGAAGAGAGGCAGAGGCTCAATCTCTTAGGAGTGACTTTAGGATTGGAGTCAGAGTAAGAGAGGTGAAAAGGAAGGGGGCATCGGGATCCTTTTAAATTCTACTCGGCCCACATCAGGATCTTGGGCAGGGTGGAAGAACAACTGACATCTATTGAGTGCCTGACGTTTACTCATTAATGTCTCACTGGTCTTGATAAATGAGGAAATAGAGGCTCAGATGGGTGAAGTGCTATTCCCCACACCGCACAGCTGGTAATGGTGAAGATGGGAATCCAGGCCACTCCCCCAGACTACCATGTTCTAGAAGGAGATTCTATGCAGAAGCTCAGCTTTGGAATTAAAATGTGGCATTTGACTAAACCTTCTCCTGGGTTACATCTCTTAGAGGTTAGGTCACTTCTGCTACTCTGCCTCAGTTTCTTCACCTCACTGTGGGGACTGGAGGTGGCTCATCATTTTCATCTTATTGATTCTATGGAATTATAGAAAATAGAGGTCTGAAATAAGCCTGAATAGGCCAGTTTAAAGCCTTCCTGGGACCCAGGGGGAGGAGTCAGAGCTGGTCAGCCTCAGGCAGTTCATGTTCCCTCTTGGAGCTCCAGCCCTTCTCAAAGTCACCAGCCTAGAACTTTCTTTTTTGTCTGGCCCAAGGGAGGACCAGCTGCTTTACTAAGTCTACCCATTCAAATGCCAATCTGATCCAGAAACACCCTCGTGAACACATGGAGAATCATATTTGGCCCAATAGCTGGGCACCATGTTCTAGTCCAGTTGACATACCATTAGCCACCTCAGAGAGAATCTTGCCTGGGACTTCACCATCCTGCAGAGCAGCTAGTCATTTGGTGGGAAAGTCATAGAGTGGCAGACATCAGTGTTGGTGCCATTGTCACCTTTTCTCTGGGCCCTCTGTTGACCTTCCTGTGCTATTATTCCTCAGCCACATGGAGCTGTTAATAGAAGCCATGCTGTGATGCTGTGAGCCCTGGGAGGTGCCGTGTGAGCACTCAGTAGAGTGTCTGGTGCATAGTAAATGCTCACGATTGTGAGTTATTCTCACTGATGGTCTTATGGACCCCTGTCCCTCCCCCCGATGGTGAGCTGACTCAGTGCAGAGTGAAGGCCACGGGGTTTGGATCAAGAGACAAAGCTGTAGAGAAAATCACTTGCAGTCTGTGTGCCTCGTGCCCCTTGTCGTAAATGGAGACTCTGTGACCTCACTGGGTTGCTTTAAGGATCAGAGAAAATCCAGATAATGTCTAGCCCCTGTGAGCCATTCAACAGCGCTGGTTCCATCTCCACCCCGCATGGCAGAGAACACACCTGCCTCTCCTGAGCAGCCCCTGCGAGCACCTGGCAGGCAGGCAGCACTCATGGGATAGGCTGAATGCAGGGCTTTGTCGGATGGAAAAACAAGAGCCTCCTTTGGGTCCAGCCACCGCCTCTGGGAGGTGGTCAGTGTGGCCAGCACCTCGCTGATGGGAGGCAAGGCAGACAGCTGGTGGAGGGAGCAAGGCCCTACTTCCGAAGCAGACAGAATCAATTATACTGGGGAGCAATTCAGAATAAAGTGGCAGAACATTCCAAGGCCCGGAGCCTGAGGTCTCCGGCCCTGGAGGATGCAGGTCCCGAGTGACTAGGCCGCGTCTCTCGCTCCAAGTCCACCAGGCCCCACGAGCCTCACTCCCAGGCCAGTGGTCTTCCTCGGGTCCGCCTGCTGTCTTCAGTCTGTGAGGGACCTGGTTCTCACCATGTGCCTGAGAGGCAGGCAGCGCGAGGGCAGTTACTCTCATTTTTCAGAGACAGGGCCTGGAGAAGCACAGGGCTTTTTCTGTGCTCACACAGCTGGTGAGCAGTAACTCTTCATCCCCAGACTGTGAAGACCCAACTGCTGACCTTTCCAAGCATCCCTGCTGGCTGGCCCAACAGGAAGGGGGGGGGGGCATGGCTCTACTTCAGACTGGTGAACACCCCCAGTGCCTGGGAAAGAGGATCCTTCACCTGCAACTGAATCTAAGGGGCTGTGACGGGAGCAGTACTCGGGGATCCCAAGTCAGCCCCAGCTGTCAGGACTGTCAGTCTGCACGCAGGTGACTTCCACACCTGCAGCGCGTGGCAGGGTCTGTCCTTCCTTGTCCACCCCTCGTGCTCCTCCTGTCTGTCTTCTCATTTTCTGCTCCTTCTCTTCCTTCTTTCACCGTCTCTTATCACATTGCAACACGAAGCTTTACATTTTAATGTACTGGCCTTGGGATAATGTCCCCCAAATCCTTTAATATCACCTAAGGGGTGTTCCTAAGCTGATGCCATGGACAGTGATTAGCTCTGAAAAACAGATAATAAATATGAAATAATATTAAATAAGTTTGTGGTTCTGCTTTTACGTCAGTGGGAATGAAGGGCCTATCATTTACTGGGCTCTAAAGTGGCACAAGTCCAGAAAGGCCGAGGTCTTCATTACAGTCTCATTGACTCGTTCTTAGCACAAAGGGAAGACAGCAGACACCTGTGTTCTCTGGGCTGGAGCCAAATAGCAGCAACTAAGCAAAGAGGTGTGCACAGGGGGCTGAGGAAAAAACAGACCAGGGTCTACGAAACATGACACATCAGAGAGGTTTGGGGATTTTTAAATCACTCAGTTCAAGATTAGCAACACTTTTCCTTCAGGAGAAGCAGCATTACGGGAGAATTCACTGTGTGCTTGATTATTTGCCAGGAGAGGGTGACTGACTGATGGTTCTTGCAGAAGTGACACACGTCTGGAGGAGAAACACAGCCCGTGTGCACTCACTCCATCTAAAGCTCCGCATGCGAAGGAGTGGGATAGACGGGGGCTGTGAGGACCGAGCGGGATGGAAGGGAGAGTTCCTGGGATGCTGTGGGCTGGGAATGGCACTTGGCATCCAAGAGTCTGTCTCTGGACCACGTGGTTGTCCAGAGAGCTTAGCCGTCTCGGGCCAGTGGGAGCCCAGCGCTCGGGCCGATAGCCTGTTGGCACCTTCTCCTGTTGGCACCTTCTCCTGTTGACACACCCAGCTCTGTCCCCATGAAGAAGCACGAGGCATATCCTTGGGAGATTCTGTGGGCTTAGTTACTGGAGTCACGTGTTCGGATGGAACAAGTCAGGTTCCAAAGTCATAAAGCCCTGAATTGGAATCTTGCCCACACACTGCTCATTGGCTGTAATTTGGGACAAGTCCCTTCACACTAACATTCTCTCCCTGGGCACAACAAGGGGATGAGGACGCCTGATGTTTGATCACGATGCTTTAATGAGACAGTATGCAGAGGTGCTCAGCCCCAGCCTGGCGTGTTCCTGTCCCCCACGAAGACCTGTCTCCCTAAAGGCCAGCCTTTCGGTGCCCTTGTGTTCCTGGAACAGGAATCTGGAGGAAAAAGGAAAAGCCTGGATAGAAACAAAATAGGTGTTCCACAGCTCAAGTGTTACCCCTGCTGGGGGTCCTCTGGCTCCGCTTTACCCACTACCTTGCTTGACTATCGAGCGTTTCCACTTCTTAATGGTAGACCCTGAATTATAATGGAATTAATAAAGGGAAAAGTAAGTCATAAGATATCAAGAAAAGGCACTGAAGAGTTTCTTACACTAAACCCTGGAGCAGAGCCAGTGTGTTAATTTTCAGGGCTTCCGTGCCACCCTGGTCACTTCAGCAGTGGAAGTGGATGGTCTCACCACCCTGGAGGCTGCCAGGGTGAGATGAGGTGCCCAGGGGTGGTTCCTTCGAGGGTTGAGGGTCTTGCTAGCTCGTGGAGGGTGGTTGCATTCTCCCTGAGTGTGTCTGGCTCCCAATGTGTCCTTTTTGTAAGGACACCAACCACGTTGGCTTAGGGGCCACCCACCGTTCCAGAGTAATCTCCTTCGAGCTCATTACATCCACAAGGATCCTATTTCCAAACAAGGCCACAGTGTGAGGTGCTGGGGTTAGACGTCAACCTATGGGGTTGGGAGAACTCAAGTCAACCATAACCAGCCTCAATCTGAAGTTGTTTAGTTCAGGGGCCTACAGCATGGATCTCCTACAAGAAGTACAATATTCGGTCCCAGAACAGCAAGTCACTCAGAATGACAAGCCCAGGATCATTAAAAAGAGATGGTTTGGTTCAGCATCTTCTATACACTTTAGGACAATTGAATGACTAACATGCAAGGGGCTGGGCATCCGAAGCCCACTCCAGGGCCCCTACTACTCACCAAGCACAAGTGGAAGCTACAAAATGCCTCTCCAGGCGTTTCCATGTGTTGAATGTCTTCAACACATAAGCAAATGAGGCCCTTGAGGGCTTGAAATCAACTTTGTGATTTTAATCTTCAACTCTAGGGGTCCCTAGACCATGCACCCAAGATCCTGGGTCCTACAGTGTTGGTGCAGAGCTGACATTCAGTTTCCTAACTGGCAAGCTCTGCTGCAAAGCTACAGGTCACCTGAACTAACCAGGCTGCAGACCGGGATCCAGTGAGATGTTCAAAGGAATCCGCAAGGCCTCTGGCCTCCAGGGCCCCTCCTCTCCAGCGAGCACATTAGTATTGCTGGCTGTGGGTTGCTTGCCCTGCTCAACAGGACTGGCACAGATAGCACCTCCTGTCTGCATCAGCGCTTCCCTGCAGATCAGAGGCTGCCTGGAGCAGTGGGCAGAGCACTAGGAGCACCAAAGAAGCTGGTTCTCCTTGCTTTGTGGAAAACAAATGTCTTGAGGAACAAATGACACATTCTCACTACCAAGGCACTCAGGCCATGAGAGGCTCGACTCTCATCATGGGGCAGGGAGAGCTGGCAAGCGCCTTAACCTCTTTAAGCATCAGTTTTTTAAACTGCAAAGTAGTGGTGACTTCCACACTGGTTGATTGTACATATTAAAGTATCTTGAAGACTTCAAGGTGTGAGACAGATGTCCTTTGTGGAGTTGGACCTCACCCAGATTTCTGCAAGGGGCTGATGTGCCCTCCCCCACTCCCCGGTTGATGTGTGCTTGGCTTGCTAACAGCTCACCTTTCATCCTTTCTGTGGGACAGCCCGTGACTGCTGGGCGCTGGTTTGTCCAGAAATGCCTGGAATGTACGGCCAGACTCCCCAGGAGTGCGTGTGGCCAGTAATCGACTGATGGGGTATAACCACCTCTCTCCCCTGCCTCTGCCTGGACAACCTCCATCGTGCAATTCAAACTCCAGAGCTTCCCCTGTGGGACCCGATCAAGGCCAGACTCCTCCTCGGTCTTTATCTAGCTTCTCCCCCTTCCAATTCCACATTTCTCCACTCCCTTGCAGGTTTGTCCTGAGAACACTTCCTTGTTAAATTACTCACTCAGAGATCTCCATCTCAGGCTGCATTTCCAGAAAATTGGACCCAGGACCAGATGCTCTGCTTGGTATTTTCATTTTGCATTATTTTCTCTTGCAGGGATGACACCTGACCTGATTTGACTCTAAGAGCTCTACACCCACTCTTTACACTGCCCTGAATGTTCTTCCTGAGGATCGTCAGCTGGCTGACTCCTTCTTGTCATTCAGATCTCAGCTTAAATGTCACCTGTGCAGAGAAGCCTTCCTAGGACATGATGTGAAGTGGTCATTTAAATTCCCGGCCGAGCTCTAGGCACTCACTGCTGCCTGCGCATCTCTTTGTTTATTACCCACCCCTCCTTCCCCTCTGGTAAGTGAACTTCAGTTTTCATCTCTGCCACAGCACTATTGGGCTGAACACTCTCTGAGGACCCCTCTCGCTTTGATGTTCCACTTTCCATATTCGAAATCAAACACAGTTAACATTTCAATAAAAAAGGCAGACAAAACAGAGCTGGGCAGGTCCTGACTACCTGCTCACATGACCTGGCACAGTCTGGTCCTCTCTTTGGCTGTTTCCTTGCCTGTAACCCAGAGGAAGAGAGAGGTGACCTCCCTCTCTCAGCCCTGTGTTCCTGATGGCATTTAATAGTTGTTGCTTCTGGTACCTGGGGACACACAGCTCCTACAGAATTGCTTATGTCAAACCTTCTTTGTTTTTTGTCTTCTCTTTAAAGCATTTGCAGTTGGCCGACACAAGGGCACAAAGATGCCTTTTTATTATTTTAGTGAGGCCTCCAGGCTTCGTTTTATTACCATTAGACCTGTGTCCCTCAAGTTTCATCCCTCCAGTCACAGATGCTGAAAAGAAACCTGGTTCTCCTTGCTTTGTGGAAAGCAAATGTCTCAGGGAACAAATGAGACATTCTCACTACCAAGTCACTCAGGCCATAGGAGACCCCAAGCGACTGGTTATAACACAGTGCAGGCATCCATTCATTCTTTGCAGCATTTATTCACACTTTGATGCAGCAGATATTTTAGTGAGTGTCTTGATAGGCTCTGAGGCCAAAACAGTGAACAAAACAAAAGTGCCTGCCTTCATGGAGCTTACATTCTTGTGTCACCTGCTCTCAAAGAGGTTTCACAGTGTTCTCCAGCTAAAGAGAGAGTAATGAGCTCTGCTCGGATGTCTTGGAAGCCAGAAACAATCCTAAGCACATATGCCCCTATTTGAAGTAAAAAATGATGGAGTTGAAAGCAGAAAAAGACAAATTTTTTAATTACAATTGGAGAATACAACATTTATCTCTCAATAACTAATATAACTAGATAGAAAGTTAGCAACAGCATAGAAGAAACCAGTATCATCAATGCAGATCTAATTGGCACTTGTATAGAACACATCACCCAACAAGAGCAGAACAGGCCTTTCTTCCATCACTCAGAGGACAGATAGCAAGATGGACCATTCCTGGACTGTAAGACAAACCTCAATACATTTAAAAGAATTAAAACATATAAAATGTATTCTCCAACCATAATGGAATTAAACTAGAGATAAATTACAGAAAGAAGAAAACATCTGGAAACTAAAAAAAAAAAAAAAAATCTAAATAGTCCATGGTTCAAAGTGAAAGTTTTAAGAGAAATTAAAAAATTCATTGAATTGAGTGAAAGTGAAAATATAACAAAATTTGTGGAATACAGTTGAAGAAAAGGGAAATTTAGGACACTAAATTCATATATTAGGAAAGAGAGAAAGTATCAATCATTTATGTAAGTGGCCCCCTCAAGAATGTAGAAAAAGGAAGTGAAATAAACTGAAAGCAAGCAGAAAGATAGAAATAACAAATGGGGCAGAAATTGATTAAATTGAGAATAGAAAATAGTAGTGATAAATCAATGAAACAGAGTTGGCTGATTCTTTGAAAAGATTCATAAAGTTGATGAACCTCCAACAAAACCAACAAAGAAAAAACCAGAGAAAACGCAAATGATCATTATCAGGAATTACATAGAAGATATCACTACAGACCCTGCAGGCATCTGAAAGATAATAAGGAAATGCTATGAACAATTCTACACACATAAATTTGACAACTTAGATGAAATGGACCAGTTCTTCAAAAGTACAAATAACTATTATTCACCCAATATAAACCAGATAATGTGTATACCCCAGTGGCTATTAAGAACATTAAAAATTTAAATTGTATTTATTTATTTTTAAAGATTTATTTATTCATGCAAACAAGAACTGGGTACAGGCCAGAAGGGGTGGGGGTGAGAGGATTCACAGAGACAGAGTATTTTGTGGGATTTTCTACATAGACATGTCATCCGCATTTGGAAAGTTTTATTTCTTTCTTTATGTTCTCTATATTTTCTTTTTCTTTATTTTTATAGCTTGCCTTACTGCACTAGCTAAAACTTTCAGCACTAGTTTGAATAAGAGGGGTGAAAGAAGTCATACTTGTCTTCTTCCTAATCTTACAAGGGAAATCATTGAATCCTTGACTATAAAGGACGGAAATAGACTGAAATAGACTGCTGAGGGGAATAGAAGGCTAGTCAGGAGAGGTCTGCTGTGCCATGTGGGTAGTTTCCTGGCCAGGGATCAAATTCGTGTTGCAGATAATCTCATAGGTTAGATCTTAACCCCTTGTGCCACCAGGGTGGTCCTTAAATTGTATTTAGAAATCTCCCTCACCCAAGCCTCCAAATGTAGATGCTTTCACTGGAGAATTCTTCCAAAGTTTTAAAGAAGAATCAATACCAATTCTACATAAAATCTTGAACATAGAAGGGGAGGGAATACTTCTAAGTCATTTATGAAACAAAAAGTGACATTACCTCCACCAAAACAGGCAAAAGTAGTGCAACAACAACAACAAAAAGACAACCATCCAACAATATTTGTCATGAATATAGATGCATAAATCTATAACAAAATATTGTACAATAAAATATTACAGTTAACATATTTTATATTTATAGTCAAAGATTCAATGATTTCCCTGTAAGATTAGGAAGAAGACAAGTATGATTTCTTTCACCCCTCTTATTCAAACTAGTGCTGAAAGTTTTAGCCAGTGCAGTAAGGCAATCTATAAAAATAAAAAAAAAGAAAATATAGAGAACATAAAGAAAGAAATAAAACTTTCCAAATGCGGATGACATGTCTATGTAGAAAATCCCACAAAATACTCTGAGAAGTAGTAAGTGAGCTAATGCAGGATACACTATAAACATAGAAAGTTCAAATGTATTTTTATATGCTAGCAATAACACTGAAATAAAAAAATGGAATGCATTAGCATTTTGGATAACTTGGTAAAATAAGTATTTAAGTATAAATTTAACAAAACATGTACAAGACTTGTGTGTTGACAACTATAAAGCACTAGTGAAAGAAATCAAAGATCTAAAAAAATGAAAAGACATACCATGTTCATGGATTGAAAGACTCAACATAGTAAAGATGGTAATTCTCCCCAAACTGACATACAGGTTTCCTATCAAAATCTCAGCATGACTTTTTGTAACTATAGGTAAAATTATGCTAAAATTTATGTAGAAAAGAATTTAAATAGCTAATTATTTTTTTAAATCCATCTACCTGATTTGAAGATTATTATGTAGCTACAGTAATCAAGTCTGTATGGTCTTGGGAGAGGGATAGACACCTAGATAAAAGAAACAAATACAGAAGCCAGAAATAAGTTGACACAAATATTCTCAAGTGATTTTTGCCAAAGTGCAAAGCATTTAATGGAGGAGGATAAACTTTATGCAAGGGTGCTGTAGCTGTTGGACATCCACAGACAAGTAAATGATGCTTAACTTATCTCACACTTACATAAAATCAAGTCAAATTGGATTATGAGTTTAAATGTTAAGTGTAATACTATAAAAATTTTTAGAAAGAAACACTAGAGAAAGATTTCAGGAACAATGGTTTCTTGGATGTGCTATCAAAACTCAATTCATAAAATGAAAAATTAATAAATTGGATTTCATCAAAATTATAAATTTGCTCTGCAAAAGACCCCATTTCATCCTCTGAAATTACAAGCTGTAGAGTGAGTAATATAGGCAAATCTTACTTCTGACAAAGCACTAGCATCTAAAATATATAAAGAACTCTATAAATTCAACATAAGAAAAACGATCCAATGAGAATATGGAACAAAGACATACAAGAGACATTTCACTAAAAAAGATACACAGAGGGCATAGAAGCATATGAAAAGATGTTTCAAGCCACGAGGGAAAGGCAATTTACTCCACAATGAGATTTCACAGTACATCTATCAGAAAGGCTAAGGTTATAAAATGACACCACCAAGCGCTGACAAGGATTCAGAGAAACTGGGCCATTCAAACATTGCTGGTAGGATTATGACATGGTATAACCATTTTTGAATTCTGTTTTTGATTTTTTCCAGTGAGTTAGGGATAAGAGAATATTCCCCCACCCCCATGCCTCAACACTTCCACCACAGAGGGAAATATTGATAAAACTTCCTCCTTTTCTATGAAATGAGACAAGCAGTCCTGTTCCCCTCCTAATACCTAGATGGACCTTCTCACCTAATCTAAGACCTAAAGACAAGGGTCCCATAATAGATGCTGGTGTCTGAAAGGCAATTTTCTAGAACATATATGGGGGAAGTTACAGCTAGGATGGGAGCTGGGCTGATTACAGGGCTTGTAGATCATCTTGGTGGGGAGGGATACAGTTGGGGAGGCACAGTTTTGGGGGAAGTAGTGCTCAATGTTGGAGGAAAAACTGGGCTCTGAGCTGAGAGGTATATGGGTTTGAAGCCACCTTCAACTACTTACCAGATATGTGAACTTCACCTCTGCCACTTAACCTCTTTGAGTCTTTAGTCTTTTGGAAGAGAAAAAGATATCAATTCAATCTGCCTCCTCAGGCTGTGGTGCAAATTAAATGACCTGTTTATAACATGTTTACATATTTAGTAGTCACTCAATAAATGCTTGTTAAAATCTTCAGTGAGACAGACAAGAAAGCTTTATCATTCAGGCACTGATCAGAGAGAGGAAGTCTGAAGGGAGTGCAGTCCCAGGAGGGGTTGCAGCAACAGCCCAGGGACATGGTCAGACACCCAGCCCCTTCCATGTCTGTGCTCAACATGGGCTCACCTGAGGGTGCCTCACCTGTGTACTAGATGCTGCAGGAGCAGCAATATCAGCTCAGGAAAAACTCACCCACACCAGCCTGTGCCTACCTGGGGCCAATGGCATTACCCTTGAACACCATGGGCTGCTTAGAGATAATGAGACTGAGATAATGAGGCTTAGAGATAATGAGACTGAGCTCTGAATCCCAAGATTTGGCCACCCTCCCCATGGGACACAAGGGATAGAGGGTTACCTGGGTAAAATTGGATTCTGTTAGGAAGGAGGAAGGTGGATGCTGAGTGGCTGCCCAAACATTTAACCAACCGCCTCTGTAAGCAACTTTCATTTAACCCCCTGAAATTCAGTTTCCTCATTTGTAAAACAGAGTGAATCTGTCCCACTATCTCTTGTGGGGTTTTGTAATGAGTGCCTGGGATCACAAATAAAGCACTTTGCCGTGGACCTAGATTGTAGAAGGTGGTGAAGAAACAAATACACATTTTGATTTAGAAAACTGAGCTATCACTCCCAGAGCTCTTACATTTCTTCATTTTCCATCTGGGGAAACTGAGGCTCTGAGAAATTGTCAGTGGCATGAATGCACAGCTGGCAGAATGCTCCAGACTCTGGGATCCATGACCTCCAACTGCTCTTCCTTCCAAGGACCCCAGGAGGGAGCAGGAGGCCACCAAAGGGAAGGAGAGGCTGCAGGAAGAGGCAGGGGAGTCTCCAAGGGGATCCCTCAGAGGGTCCAGCGGGGGGGGGGGGGGGAGGCCCCACAGCCCTGGCATAAGCCCCACAAGCCCTAGGCTACCCAGACCTGCTTACTCAGATGGCTTCCCATGGCTTCCAGAGCCTGCCCAAGGAAGAAAACCTCCGCATAAGCATCTCACTGCTGCCTTCTTGTTCAGCTCAGGAAGTGGCCCTTGGGGAGCAAACTCCAATAAACCACCTTCGGAAAGTGTGTGCTGGCGACCAGGGGAGAGGACATGCTGACAACGCTTCCTCTGGCGGGAGAGGAAGCTGAACTTGCTAATTAAAGGTCCCTTTCCGAGGGCCCCTGCCCCTTCCAGGGACTTGGCCCTTCCTTGTAGCTGCAGCTTTCCTCACCATCCCGCCTAATCTTAGGTTACACTTGCCATCTGCAAACACGAGGAGGGGGGTGGGGGTTGGGGGTGGTGGACTCAGCACAAACTCAGCTCGTGGGTCCCATGGGTCAAATCTTAGTTCTGCCACTTCCTAGCTGTGTGCCCTTAGGCAAGTCACTTAACCTCCCTGGACCTCAGGTGCCTGAGCTCTCGGATGAGAATGATACTTTTACCTACTCCAGATCTTCTGTGGCCTCAGTCCTGTCCTCCTCCCATCCACCTATGCCTGTCCTGCTGTGATGGTATTTGGAAATAGGGCCTTTGGGAGATAATTCGAGTCAGATGAGATCGGGATAATAAGGCTGTGGGTGGAGACCCCAGGAGGAAATGAGCACCCTCAGAGGAATCTCCCCACTCTTCCCCTCTTGCCCAGTGAGAGGCGGGCCATGTGGATGCCGAGAGTGTTGGCAGGACCTGAGCCGCCACCACCTGGTCTTAGGCATGCAGCTTCCAGAACTGGGGGCAAATTCAGGTCTTTGCACACCCAGCCTGTGCTCCTGTGCGAGCCCGAGTGGAGTGAGACAGGTGCACGTGACCTGACTCATGTGGTACATGGCATTCAGTAAGTGCTCATTAAATGGTAGGTTTTTTTTTTTTTTAACGACAGGGAAGTTCCATATTTGGCCTCACAGCTTATATGTGTGTGAGGCAGAGGGAAGGTCTATGTCAGTTCAGCAGGGGGTGGGGGCCCCGATGTTGTGCAGCTTCTAGTCACACTGGGGAGATAGACATTCCAGCAAGCTCCGGAGCCCCTCGTTCAGCCCCTTGCCCGCCAAGATTCCTGCCCATGCAGCTTGTACTCAGGGCCCTGAGCGAACGCATCAAGAAGGCACAGAGCTTCCTGGGTAACTGGGGGAGAAAGTGGTGCAGTCCTCAGGTCCAAGTGCAAA